AAGAAGAAGAAGAAGAAGAAGAAGAAGAAGAAGAAGAAGAAGGAGAAGAAGAAGGAGAAGAAGAAGGAGAAGGAGAAGAAAAAGGAGGCTGTTGTGTTGGAGGGGTGGGGGGCATTCACAAACACGTCCTTTGTCCACAAGACAAGTTATTGTACTCCCCATCAAATCCTTGTTCTGGGGTTAAGTCAGTTATATACCACGACGTTGTCTGGCAACCCGTCGTAAGGGAGAAAAGCTTGGAAAATGTAGTGCCACACTGTCTACAGCCCCTTTGCTGTATGTAAAAGATCGCTCCTTCTCCCTCTCACCACTTTCCCACCAAACCGCCTCTTGAAAAAAAAATTAAGAGTACAAGAAAGAACAGGCAAAGTGACAAAGGCAAAACCAGAGAAAAAAAAGCACATGAAATCCAAAATCAAAAGATCATGGTCTCCATCGAACTTTGATAGGCAACGACGCATATTCCGAGGTTGCATTGATATTGGTTAAAAGGGAGAAAAAAGATTAACTGGGAAGATGCATAGTAATTAATTGAAATTAATGATAATATACGTTGTATAGTTAGCATGCCAGTAAGTGGCATCGGTAGTCTAGTGGTTAGACTACCTGAGTCGTGGTCGTGAGGTTGAGGGTTTGGGTGTTCGATCCTCAGGCCCGACGTTGTGTCCTTGGGAAAGGCACTTTACATTAACTTTCCTCAATTCACCGAGGTGTGACAACGAAATATCTTGTCAGTACGTTAGAGTTTTAGCGCCTGTAAACTGGCAGTTTTCACTGTATGCTTCCCAGAAAGTTGAGACAGTCTCAGAATTCTACCAAGTGTCCTGGGGTAATATTGTAGATTGTTAAGAGCACAGAGCTTGCTGTTCAAAGAAATTTCCGCTATAAAAATGCTAAATATTATTATTATTATTATTATTATTATTATTGTTATTGTTGTTGTTGCTATTAAAGGTGATTGGGCTTTTTATTTGCTTATTTTTGTGGATCTTGTTTAATGATACTGTTATTCGCTTTTTTTGGCCGAGAATGCTTTTTAAAATCTTTGAATAGGAGAAATCGGTATTTCCCCGAACGCTTTGGGGGCGGTTAGTATTTAAATATTATGGATGATGAATTTTAAATAAAACTCGCCCAAAGAATTTTGCATAGATTCGGGCTCCCGTCTATCACAACAAAACGACATGTCGTTTTGTTACGATTAAAAGAATACTTGAGCTTTGTATCAAGACGTTTAACGGAGTCCCAGCATTCTAGGGTAAACACTGTTACTTTCGACTTCGTGTTGTGCAGATTTTTGAGGTTTCATTCGTAAATGCTAATAAATTAAAGGACTATGATAAACAAACAGAATCAGAAAAGTTTTATTTTGT